TTTTTTTTTTTTTCTATCTCTATTAGTTTCTGTTAACTTCTTTAATTGGTAGTGTTGATTAGTGATTAGTTTTGTATACATCAGTTTTTGGTGTGAAATATGGGTTTAGTTTTTCCTGTGTCTTTATGGCTTATTTTGACACAATTTTTTTGTCTGTGTTGATTTTGAGATAGCTTCTATGTGTACTAATTTGTGTGGTCCAAGAAAGAGAATCAAAAAAAGAAAAAAGAGAAGAAGGGGAAGAACAATAGACAAAGGAGACTCATATATTGCTTAACTGTTGCTTTAATGCTGTTTGGTGGTCCCTTAAAACATTGTGATTCTGTTTTCAGCAAGTTTTAAGGATTTGGATTGATTATTAGTGATTGTTTTTGTCCTTTCTTGGCTATTGATATTATTGTAAGCTAACTTAACTGTATAATTTGCAAATTGTGGAACAAAAAGTTTCAACTTTTTTTTGCTTTTGATAATAATTGGATTTTGCTGGGTTGTGATTTTGGAATTTTTATTTTTATTTTTTCGTATCATGCTACAATTCAATGCTCAACCTTTTTTCTTCTTCTTCTTCTTCTTCTTCTCTTGTGGTCGCATATATGTCATCTGCTACGTATGATATAAACCTGTATAGGTCGATCCAAGAGCTGGTTTTTCTGATATTTCCAATATAATGCTATCAGTAGTCAGTACTTAGTTCAGCAACTTCACAATATACGTTGAAAATGGTATTTGCAGGTTTAGGAAGATATAGTCAAAACTGTCTGAGATGTAAGTTAGTGATAAGTCGCAAGACAACCGAGGTGCTTGTGTGCTTTCTGAGCCTGACTGTAATTATAAGCACTTATCAAGGCGCTTGTCTGCTCTGCTGTGAGTGGACTTTAACTCAGTTTTTTAAGGCCGACTTGAGAACTGACCCAAATTTGTTGATTTACGAGCCATACTTCAATCTTATATTTCGTTCAGTGACTCACAAAACCCCCGATCTTCTATTTTTAAGATTTTATTGCTACAGGTTGTTGTCATGTTTCAGTTGTAATTAATAGTGTGTCCACCATAATAGGGTGGAGATAATGTATTGTTCTATATATACAAGGTTTGCATTTGCCTTTTGCCACGATGTTATTCCTTAAAATCGACGTCCTTCCTTTAAAGTTTAAATTGTTCTTCATTTCATGTGATTTATCATGATTTTGGTGCATCATCATGGATTCAACTACTGATGGAGGTTAACTTTTAAACTTCGTCAAAAGGTAAACCGAAAAGTAATGTAAAAACATCATCGATAAGACACAAGTACACATGGTTGCATGTGGACCTTCTAACACCATTAAGTGGCGACTAAAGCTCATAAAATGCTTATACTTTTGACCCTTTTGGTTCTTTTATTTGAAGCCAATCTTTGCTGCTAGAAGCAGAAGGGAATCTTAAGCCAATTTCAAGGGAAGGCTAATAATCATGTGTGATGCTTTTGTTACATTCGTCTCATCTGAACTTTAACTCAAGTAAGGAGTTTAATAGATGCATCTCAGGCCAAGGGTTAACTCGCGAGACTCTACTGGTGACTGCATTGCATTGCAGTCATTGGATTTTTTCACCATTGAATTAACGCATACACACATGCCTACATGGGTTTGTGTCTATGTTGACGATAAAAATTCCGATAACTGCAATGCAGTCACATGTAGCTTGAACTATACCCTCAAGCCTGTAACATGAGTACCAAGCCGACATTTGGCAACATCTTCTCTTAGTGTTACATTTTAGCGTTTCATTGGATCTTGTAAAATTCACTGGTAAATTAGATCTACCTTGGTAAGGATACTGCGACCATTGAATTTTATGTTGGATCACATATGAGTACATGTGATCAAACTATAAAATTTCAGTGAGGGGGATCGAATTTTTTCATACTTTGCACCCTCAAATTCCGAATTTGCAAAGAAAGGTTGGCAAGCAAATGTGGGGCGAAATGAAACATATACGGGGCAAGGCGGGGTGAGCGTGTAAGTGCTAAGATAGAGTGGCTTAGGTCGAGGATATTAAATTATTCATTTCACACTCAATTTAACTCACCTCTACTATTCTCAATATCATCAGTATAATTAAATAATATTAATCAATTATTTTTACACATTACATCAACTTTAATTATTTATTCATTCACTCATATATTTAAACTATCACTTTACATCATCTCTTTCATACTTTTCCATCAAATAATTTTTAATTTGTTTAAATAAAATTTAAAATAAAATCAAGATTTCACTAAGAATTAATCATATCTCATTTTTTCAAATAATTGTAGTTAACTAAAAAATTTTTATTTTGAGTGGAAATTTTGATCCAAGCACGCCTTCAAATTTAGGGCATTACAGCTCTTCATTTACCTATATCAACACATATTAATGTAGCATATTATTATTGGTAAATACATGCACTAAATAATAATATGTTGGGTTCTCCACATATTTTGCGTACTAACCTGTCTATAAAATGGGGTGGATTAAATAGGTTAAACCTAGACTTTATAATTAATCTAATTTATTTATTTTAGGCAAATTGTCTCTAATATCACGGTCTTCTTCGAAATGATGATTTAAACGACTTTTTAACTTTTGCAAACTATATCACAATTTTCAATTTGGTGCACGAGTTTTGAAAACCAGCTTATAAAAGTTTATGTTGTCGGAGAAATTTCATCTCACCTACTGTTGTGTATTTGCCATCCATTTTTTTTCCAGTTAGACAAAAACGACGTCATTTTGTCTTTAGTTTGTGAATAAATAAAAAGGCCAAAATTGCAAAAAAAAAAAAACCTTTTCCTCGAATCTCTCTGCGGTCCCCATACAAACTTTTCCTCGAATCTTTCTTATTCAACAATTTCCGGCAAGTTGATTTTTTCACGGTGGTTCCTTAGCGGCTTAATGCTGCAAAATTGGCGAACGTGTAAGACATAAAACTATTTTTAT